AAATTAACACTTGTATGGGATACTAATCAAGCTTTTTTAAAAATTAACATATGTATGAGATACTTAAGCAAGCTATATTTATTGGTCCCTCAAGTTTGAATGACTTAACAAACTAGTTATTTTACTTTGTCAATTATCTCACTTAAATCCTCAATCTTTTAATTGTCATACTAAAGTTCCTTAGTCACTCACACGCTCACAACAATTAACAATATGAACTTGCAAAATCAAGTATTCATCAATGTAAACATAAAGCATAACATCAATGAAAACACAAGATAGAACATACTCATATTTTAGCAAAAAGAATACACACACATGTATAAAAATGAACACACATACTTAACAAAATAAATACATACATAAACGCATGGGAAGGTTTAAAGTCTCGGGTGTTACATCTCCTCATCCTTCACTCGAAAGGCCATAAGATACCCTAAAGATAGTCCTACTGACCTCGGACATCTCTTTCTCCTTAGCCTTTCACCTATAGAGAAGGTGGACTTGTATTTAGAAAGAGTATGAAAGAAAAAGACCCCTTAAAGAGAAATAAAAAAAATGGAAAATGATAAAGACTAAAATAACTCACTTATAATAAGGCTTAGTTATAAGGCCTCATCCGTCCGTTTGGCCAAAGGGTCACTCATTTATAGTTCCACATCGGTTAGTAGCAAAGTAATTTCTTTAAGTGCACAAGAGAAGAGCGGTCCTTCTTTCCCTCTCGAGGAAGATGAATCTTCAAAGAGCTCTTTTTCAAGCTAAGTTGCTCTACAAAAAGAAGGTGATTAAGCATTTGTCAAGACGAGTGCCTAACCTTCGAATAAAAGTTCTAACAATTTTTTCCTAATCATTGAATAATTAAAAGGGTAGAATCAGTTGGAATTAGGGACATAGATGTCAAAAATGAAGCTTCATCCTTCATGATAACCATGAGAACCTTATCCCCCTTAGCAATATGTCAAACCCCAAAAGAAAAGGGACCTACCTCATTATTGAATAGAGGGATCCTCGCTCCGTCAAAGTTTCTAAGAATGTCCTTTGCTTTTGTGACATCTAAATCAAATTTACACCTCTTGCGCAGACAGTCACCTAGCTTCCTAAGAGCCATCCCTAAATCTTTAGGGGACCAACTTTAGAAGTATGGGAAGAAGGGAAAGAATGAGCTTAGGTCATCTTTTCTATAGTAACATGCTCAACAAGAGAGATGAGAGATCTTATAAAAAAACGAGTTAGGGTCATTTTTTTGTCATAAAGCAAGCCAACTATAAAGAAAAAAAACGTTAATAACCAAGGTCAAGAAAAAACATGCAAAACTCAAAGTTTAGATATCTATCCTATGAGTTATGGATCAACCACTACTTTTTATTGTGTAGATTGATCTAATACCTCTTTTTATTACTCCTCACCAAATCCCAAAAAGCCTCATCACGTTTATATATAAAAGAAAGTTATTGAGGTTATCTTGAGGTGATTTTCATAGAGGGGGACACCCCCAAATTATCAAACTTTTCATTTTAAGTGTTTGCCCTCCGTATGTAACAATGAACCGTTCCTTTCTCCAATAACTAATCGAGCTAAGGGCTTCTACAAATGCCTTTTTCGAGTGGGCTCGATCTCCAAGTAAGAAAAGTTTACAATCAAGCTCTCTTTCCTAATTCACCAATACCACTAGTCAAGTGATAAGAAAACAAAAAAATCCTAAGGGTCAAAGTAGTGTTAAGTCACTTGTAAAATTTGATAAAAGTAGTGAGAATAGTCATACCTATTCGGATGAATTTAGCATAGACTCAAGTTATATTATTTAAAAGAAATCCAAAAACCCCGACAAAAGGAAAGTGTGTATATACTCCAACATACATGTAGAGACATTAATATCTAAATTTCTTTCAACCATCCTAAAAGATGGCCTACTTATCCTATCATTATGATGAGCTAGAATAAAAAAGAAATCATTCCTCATAAATTTTGATGACATGCTAGAAATCCTTTGACCAAAGCCTTGGATTATGAAAGATCTTCAAATTGAATTAGAGGAAGCTAGAATGTAAGAAACATCAAGAAGAAAATCTCTTTAAAAATTTGAAGAGTACTTGATAAATTGTTAAGAATCTCTTACGACAACAACCCAAAATCAACGAAAAAAAAAGTTAAAATCTTCCAACAAGGTATATATAAACAAAGACGCACGCTTCTTGATAATTGAAACATGTTAGGCCTAAGCGGTAATTTCAAGCTAACATGGCTCGTCCAGCTATGATAATAAGGTAGACATGTGGACTAGCAAAAGTGATAATCATTGCCTTTATAAGGAACATGAGAGGAGTAACTCCTTCCATCTCTAACAACGACTTGCATACAAGTATTTTCTCTCCTTTAAGGCAAATATAAGTTTTGAAGCACCCAACATAAAGAATATGAACACTAATTAGCTTGAAAAAAAATTAATAGTAAGGTAAACAACAAAAACTTTGATGATCTTCCCAAATAAAGAGGACACCATTTCAAAAGCCAAGCATCTCTTTTTAGTCTAAGCCAAGCATTTTTTCTAAGACTCGAAGGAACTACCGATGAGCCCAAATGACACATGTCGGCCATCAAAAAGGCACAAAGAACCTAAATCTAATCAAACATATCCCAAACACGTCATGTCCGGGAGTGAAGCTCGTGCTCCTTGAAGAATTGACAAATCTCCTATAGAAGTAATGAAGTTTAATCAACGTAAGACGCTCCGTTTGTGTCGGGAAAAGTCCAAGCCACCACTTCTTAATACTACAAGGGAGACAAAACATCTAATAGGGATGCTTATATAAGACTATTGTATTTCAATTTGCATTAACTTGGCAATGATGGTATCGTTAAAGAACAAGTCACTTCATGAGCACAAATCACCCAATGTGCAATTAAAGAATGTCTACATCAAGATACTTGGATGATCCTACCTTTTTTTATCATACAACTTGCCAAGGTTTTGCCTATATGAAAACTCTAGTTGCTAAGGGTTTCAAGTTCCCAACTTTTTGCAATTCTCTTTGCATTGAGAAATCTTACATTTTTTTTTTTTTTTTTTGATACACATATAAGAACATTTTATAAACATTTAATCGGATTACTTTCTTTCTCTTTGATCGGTAATTAAATCATTAGAAGATCTTTTGACCTATAAAATGGACTTGTTTTATAGGTACCAAACATAAAAAAGAGTAAGAAACAATAATGAATCTCTATCGTCCATTCTCAACCATAAATTGACACATCATTATTATTTTCCGAACAAGTTTTCAAAACTCATCAAAACCTATAACAATTATATTGATTCAAATTAAAATTTGTTTGATTTTTTTTTTGGCATAATGATGCTTCATCTTTGAAAATTCCTTCACTTTGGTGTTTAATTCATTTAGTACTGTAATCTAAATCGTAATTTCAATAGAAATAGATATTATAGAACAAAAAAAATTAAACACAAATAAAAAATTGTTTTTTCTTTTCCCCCTCCAAGTGATATATATTTTTTTTTCCTTTTGTGTTTTAGAATATCCAAAAGTTGCTACTGATGTAGCAATACAACAATGCACCCATGAATCCTTTGATTTCAAGTCGTGACTTGGAATAAAACATTTCTGAAGGAAAAGCAGCAGCAAATCTGATTTGCCCACTTATGGGGAAGAAAACGAAAATCATTATCATCCACATGGGTGACAAGTGGAGAAGGCCTATCCAACAAATCCCACACACAGACAACTGAGATCATTAGGATGATGTCATCACAAATGCCGTGCTGACCTGGACATCTTTCTTCAGTTGACCATTCAGGAAATCTTTTAACCCATAGGCTTGAAGACGTGGATCCCGCAAAATCAATGGTTACAAATAGGATAAAAAGGCCAAACCTTACATAAATTTTAATCTATTAAAAAATCAGTTTATAAATTTCTAATTTGTATTTTGATTTTTTTAAAAAAAATTAGTGCATCTTTTATTCTTTTATTATTTATTTTAAAAATAATAACTAATTAATATTTTTTGTTAGAAAAATCATTCAATAAGATATATCTAGAGCTTCTAAAAAATTTTAAAATCATTTTAGATTATTTTATATTTTTTAATGTTTAAAAAATAAAAAAATATTTTTCAATCTTGAAAAATTCTGAAATTTTAGAAAAAAAATAACTTGGAATTTTTTTTTAACATGTATGTAAAATTTCATATCAAAATATCAAAAATTAATTTTTTTTTTAAAGGAAAAGGTTTATAGATAAAAATCATATGATGGATTAAATCTAAAAAACCATAAAGTTCAAGAAAGTCAAAATACAAAGTAAGAGTTCAAAAATTACTTTTTAAATAAATTAAAACGTGGGTAAAGTTTGATCCTTTTATCCTTAAAAATATTGCTATCGTATTCACAATTTGATACTAGGTCCTTCTACTATATTTTAAAATATTCTGTAAGACTAGTTTTTAAAATTGAGATTACATATTTTTTTAAAAAAATTAAATTTTAGGTAAAACATCGAACATATTTAAGATTTTTTTTTTTACACAATCTTTTTTCAAATTGAGATCTTAACGTAAGAAAATGAAGAGCAAACTTAATTGAAAACATATGTCAAAGATGAGGAGTTTCTCTTCTACTATATTATTTGATTCTTTTAATGTTTTTCAATATAAAAAAAAATATTAATTTACGGTTCAATCAAGATTAATTTTTTTCAGACGATTTTATAAATATAATTTTCATATTAATAAGATGCATTTAAAATTTAATTAAAAAATAGTGTAACTTTTTAACTGCTAAATCAATTCTTTAAAATTATGTTTTTACCCTCAACTTTTATTTATTTTATTTTTAATACCAAATTTAAGTAAATACTTCGCACGCTCTTTTACTATCAAAATTCTGCGCATCCAGACGCCTCTCTCTGTTGGGTATTTAAAGGACACTGGACTTCAAATTTTGCATACCCCCAGTAGATTCTTCGAGGAAACAAGAAGCCACAATGAAAGGCCAAACCAAAAACCAAAAACCAATTCAAATGGATGCCTCCCATTTTCACTCTCCAAATTCTGGTATCTCATCGGAATCTTCTTTTGGATCACCAGATTCCTTCTATAGCCAATCTTTTAACCAAAGTTCTCTCCCTTTCAATGAAAATGACTCCGACGAAATGCTTCTTTTTGAACTAATCTCGGAGGCCACTCAAGAAACATCAAAAACAACTTTCTGTAATGGAATTATTAAGGAAGAAGAGGTTAGTTCAATAGCCAAAGAAACTCCCAGCAAGGAAAAGTCCTACCGGGGTGTTAGGAGGAGGCCATGGGGCAAATTCGCGGCGGAGATAAGGGATTCCACAAGACATGGCATAAGGGTATGGTTAGGCACATTTGACAGTGCAGAAGCAGCAGCTTTGGCTTATGACCAAGCTGCTTTTTCGATGAGAGGAACTGGGGCTATACTCAATTTCCCAGTTGAAAGAGTGAGGGAGTCTCTTAAGGATATGAAGTGTAGTACTGATGACGATGAGCATGAGGATGGGTGCTCACCTGTGGTGGCTCTAAAGAGAAAGCACTCCATGAGGAGAAAATTGGGAAGCAGAGGCAAGAAAGAGAGGAATGTTAGGATAGATAATGCGGTGGTTTTGGAAGATTTAGGTGCTGATTATTTGGAACAACTATTGAATTCATCTGAAAGTGCTGCTAGTCCTTGGTGAACTATCTTAATTTTATATGTTTTTTTTTCTCCTTCCATAGAATTTACTGAAATGGTAGGATTGATCATATGCTGAATCTAGATGTGTATCTCGTTTTTTCCTCACTCCCTCTCTCTCCTTTCTTTTTTCGTCCTTTTCCCTTGTGAAGTAAAGGGATCGAAGATTGTTGTATTCCCCTTGTACGTGGGCCTAATAAGCCACATAATTAAAAATATCAATGGAAAAAAAAATGAGGTGACTGCTGCCTTTCCTTGAAAAGTTTTTCTAACATGGGAACACGAAGACTCAAGTTAAACAAAGAAAGTCAAGGTTTGTTTGTTCTAATATTTGTTTTGTGCAAAAACACCCAGATCCACACAAATTTAAGGTTGCACTGCCGCAGTTCAGCAAGGTAGTGGTCACAATAATTTATTGAATAATTTATAATTAGTGTTTCGACCACCGATTAGCAATTAAACAAAATGGAATTACAAGAACGATATTATTGGTCATTTTGTTAAGCTCATTCTTTACAACTTGTTCTTGTTCTTTGGGTTAACTATAAAAATACCCCTCATTTATAGGGTTATTATTAAGTTTGTCTGTTACTAATCCCACCCATCCATTTTTTACCTTTAAAGTTATCTAATTGTTTTCAATTCTGTTCGTCCAGTCCTCCCATCTACTTTGCATCCGAATTAATTGTTAACAAAATATATCATCAATTCACCATTTGCATGACTTGTTAATTATTTTTTTTTCTAATTCAAAATACCATGGGTTTGTAACGATAGTGTAGTAAAATCTATTTTCCAATTATTTTGAAAAAAATGTATTTTTTTTATTGATTTTGTAAAATTACTTAGCATCGGAATAACTTTTTTCACCGAAATCAATCATCAAATAATAAATTCTCCGAGTTTTATGAAAAAAAAATTGTTGGAATTCTTTATTTCTTTTTTGATGCCAAGTTCAAACTTGTGACTCCTTTCTCTCTTGGCCTCTTCAACTTAAAAGTGGTACTTTTCCTATTTTGAAAAATCAATGTGCACATGTCAATCGAATTACAGTTAAAAAGGAACATTCTTATTAGATATATAAATTATAACAAATGTTTTTTATTATTATTATTATTTAAAATTGACCACTAGTTAACCTTTTTTAGTAAATATAAATTAGTTTTAAATCAGAGATTTTAAATCTTTCACGTTTTAGAATTGAAAAAACAAGTCTAAGACTTATGATAGTCACAAAGAAACGTGTAAAGTGAAATTCTAACCGTAAACGTTCTTATTAAAAATCTAAAACTCTTTGCTACAGAGACATTATTACAAATGGTAATAAACAGTAGAGATAACAATTACTAAAAACAAACAAGTAGCAAAGTCCGAAACTGCGCATGCAAAGTGTCTTTGTAAAGAGGAAAAGACAAAGGGATATTCTCACATGTCATCTTGAATTCACTATTATGGTCTAACTGCAGTTCAAAACTCAAAAGAATAACTTTTTGCAATTACTGACCTTTAGGTTACTTGGAGGATGGCTAATACCTGAAAATTTGTCTTTGTTAAGAAACATATCAATTGGTTCATCGTCCCCAATTTTCCACCTGTTTTCACCAAATTGCCTTTTGTTCTATTATACAAGAAAGACATTATATATCTATCTTTTATTTAAAATATTTTTAAGCTAAATCTGTTATTTACGTCATACATTTTCATCGATTCATCAAAACATTCTTATGTTATTAGTCTGATCAATTAAACACTTGTATTTTTCATTTCAACTAATTGAATATAGTTTTTTAAAATTAAAAATTTATTCCAACTAATTAAGTATTTACTTTCACTACATAATTCATTTTTATCAAATTCCCTTTAATTATTATTAAAATTATCACTCATTCTACTTTTTCTATTGAGTAGTTTTTTTAAATAAAAAATTAAACAAATTATATTCAATTGCCTTAAATCGAAAATACAAATATTTAATTGACCAAGTTGAAGATAAAGAGGTTTTTTTTTTTTTTTTTTTGACGAATTGGTGAAAACACACGGTGTAAATAATAATAATAATTATCCAAAGCTTCATCTTGCCTGCCGACTTAAAATTTAATTAATTCCTAATTTTCCTTATTGGATTGTGATTTAATTATACACTTATTAAGATTAAGAAGGGTTTGGTTTTGGATTCAAATAAAACAGCACTAACATCTTAATGTCATACGGCAGCCTAACAAATAATGGTAGTAGTAAGTAGTAAATTAACAGTCAATTAATTAGTTGATGGTTTTTATACAAAGAAGCATCTCTTCTCTGGTTTCATATTTCTTTTAGACAAGTTGATGAAAGAAGTTGCATATAAGGCAAATTAATATTTATTAATGGAGAAATTACAAGAAGTATGCAATTAGACACGTGGAGTTGATTATTCCAAATCCAATCCCAATGTTCGAAGTCATGACCTATCGATATCTGCTGATCATTCAACGGTGATCATGATTTTTCTTCAATTTGATAGGACAACCCAATATTGTCACTTCAATATATATATAGATAACGGATATATCACTCTCATTAGTCCATGGTTAATTGAACTTGGCCATATACTTAGGAAAGAGACATTTTTAGTTTATTCTCTCATAGTCTCAATCTTGCTTTCCTTTTTCCTTTTTGAGGGGACGCTCAAAACTCGAACAAATGTGAATAACACATATGAGCAGCATATTCAGTTTTTCCCTCTGAATATGACCGTATGGCGTGCACTTCGATTGTTAAAATTTGAAAGTGAAACCTAACCTCTTCTTCATGCTTTGCAAAAGTGAGTGTCACTTGACAATTCAAAAACGTTTTAATTGTCATTCTGATTATTAAGAATTAATTTTCTTGTAAATTAAACTTAATACTGATTAACCTTAATTTTAGGAGGGGTAAAAGTTTTTCGCAAAACCATAGATTTCTCTTTTCCAATCCAACGGCTCTCATCTTTTGCCTACCTTAATTATATTTTCATTTTTATTCTTTATGTATTATTGTCTACAATTTTTATCCTTATAATATTATGATTTTAAAAAAAATTTATAATACCCAAAGAGTAATTAGTGAATATATATATTAAATATTGAATTTTCTTATAATTTTTTTTGTAGATCTAGATATAATTATTTCTTTTTTATATATTTATTTCTCTTCTTAAAAGTAATTTTATGAAATAATTACTGTATATGTACACTAATTATTTTTTAAATATTATAAATTTTCTCATCATTTTTCTAACTATTTTATTTTTTATTTTGGAGCCTGAGTGGCCCCTAAGTTTAGGATTTTACTAGACAAGTTAGTTTGAGAGGCTGCGACATAAAAAACTATTCAGGGTTTTTCTAAGTAAAATTATATTAGAATTCAAATATATCAAAATTAAATTCGATAAATATTACTCGATGCAAATAAAACATTAATTTATTATTTTACTGAATTAATATTTATATATCATTATCAAAATACTATAATTTTATTCGAAAAGCATGATGACAATATTTTTTTTTAATATTCTAATCATTTAATTCGAAGAAAAATCAAATTTTGATTTTTTCTTTTGTAAAAAAAAAAAAAAAAATAGCCATGGTCTAGGAAAGCAAGCCTATGCACACTTGGACTTGGTAGGCCTACACGCCATGCTTGGCCTTCCAATTAAAAATACACCGAGAGAACGATAAATCCTTTTCTAGTTGCAATTTTCTTTTTTGGATCCTGTCAAAACTTGCCATTATCATCATCCAAATCCCACTCCATAGATGCCAATGATAATAACTTTTCATTCATTGATCTTAATAAAGACACAAAAAAAAAAAAAAAACCTTGAGTTGAAGGATGGTTTTCATCTCATTTTGTTGAAAAAAACTCTTTGATTTTTATTACCAAAAACTTGTTCAAAAGTAATGAAATCTATTTTTTTTTAATTGATGATTTTGGATTTTTTTTTTTTTGAAATTAAGTAAAATATTTCTAAACCTCAATTCTTTCTTTCTTTACAGTGATATTGTTTACTTGGTTTAAAAATTATATTAGTGAATAATTATGTTATATATTCAGGCTTCGATTTTTAATTTATTTAATTTTATTAAAAAATAATTTGATCTTCTAAAATCAAGAAAAAGATTGCTAGATTTAATTATATCCATTTCAATCTTGATACTCAATTTAACATAGTGTAATTTTGTTTTTCTACGTCATTGAATCTTTATGAAATTTATGTGTCCTAATTTAACGAGAATATTTTAATTATAAAGAAAAATTTTGAAACCACAATATTTTTCGAGTACAAACTTCATAAAATATGTTTCAGTTATATTAACTTTTTCAACATCTGTTATTACAAATATTTCAAAACCTATAAATATTTATAAGGATGTATATCATGCAAAATAAATCAGAAAAAATGTTGTAAGTTTGTTTAAACAATAGGAATTAATTTTGGAAAATTAATAAAAATTTTAACACGTAGAAATATATTAAAAATACACAAAAAGGGCCAGACTCTAGCCCAAGTTGTGGGACGCCTAGGCTCAGCGACATTGGCCCATGCTTGTGGATTTTGGGCTAGAGAAATCTGGCTTGGGCGCTTCTTAAAAAATGGAAAACTAAAAGAAATAAGAGACACTCATCTTCCACTTGCGAACGACGCGCTATCGTAATGGCTTGGTCTTTGAAAAATCAAGGGCGGCCCATTTTGATTCTCAAAACCCATTCTATTCGTCATTTTTCACGTCAAATGCCTCATAATCATCCTAAGAACTCCTCAAAGACCCATTTGTAACCTTAAATGCATTGTAATCAGTTAAATTACTCCAAAAAAAAAAAATTTCAAATTAAAAAAACCTATTTATATTTTCTAGCTTTAATCTATTTTACCTACCATGTCAATGTCAAGATTCACAAACACCATCAATAAACTCTTCTCGTCAAGACAAATTCATTGATATCGATTTGACGATTTTTATGGACAGAATAAGACTTGATGTA